GGGGGGGGGGGCTCTGAGTCCTCTGTTCCTACTTGAACCGAACTGATGAGAGCGGGACTTACCTTCTTGTATCCGGCCATCCTAATCACGACCTCCAGCGTGAGGCCGTCCAGGCTGTCGACGTGCAGAGGGGGCAGCTGGTTGCGCGCGGCGCGGTCCACCACCTCCTTGAGCACGTCGTCGACCGGCTGGAACGTGGTGGCGGTGTAGGCCTCGAGGTTCTCCTCCAAGAGGTGGCTGCAGAACGGGCGCGGACTTTAGACACTGTACTCGATCGTAGAGAGGTGTGGTTGGTTGCATATGGGGCGGCGGGCCGTAGGATATTGGGACTGTAAGGTTGCCTATACATTTCAGGTGGCTGATTTACCCCGCCTACTTTCAGTTGTATTGTAGGCCTACCTCTCACCTGTACATTGGTGTAAATAATGGAGTCGACTACCTCCCCCCCCCCCCTCTCTGGTCCCAAAAAATCCTGAAATGTGATTGGAGAAGTTACATCGTGGTCCTATGAACAGGAAACAGTCCAACACGACAGGTGTCAACAGCAACCAAAACAGGTTTGCGTCCATCATAAGGTACTTGAGATCGATCGTGACTGGTTACCACGCGACTAGATACGCAGAATGAGCAGTCTAGTTGTGTGATACTCGTCAGAGTCTGAGATGGCCTCCACTATGGCAATCTCGTGTACAGTACACAGTAACAGTAATACCCACGTCAATGTTGACGTGTCCCACTCTGGCAATCTACAACAATCTTCGGCAACCTCTTGACGAGCGGATCCAAAAGCCATGCCTTTTGCCTACATACAGGGTGGACGCAGTGCGGTTTGCATAGTTTCAGGCGTTTTATAATGGCAAGATGCCCAACTGTTTCTCAAGCAATCTGCACTGTTAAAAGCGTGCACGAGAGGGTTTTTAACTCTCTTGCAGAGTGTACACCCAATATTGCCGCACTATTAAAAGCTTACGACGGATTTCACCATAAGTTACAGTGACCCTGCAGCACTCAAGGTCCGGCTGGCAAAACTAGTTATTTAGAGGCCTGGACAACTTATCTTGGCAGAAAGTTGCCTCGAAGATCACACCCCGAGAACAAAAGAAATACAGTCCGCCCAGGAGCCGATGGCGGGTCCCTGCGCCAGAAGATAGGCCACACCCCCGGCCCACCCGGGCCACATGGTGCGCTTTCGGGCTGCAGTTCGGCTCGGGTAGGGCTGCACTTCTGGCGCGGCGTGGACTGAAATATTTCTGCCAAGATAAGTTGTCCGGACCTTTACCACTTTCTAAAAAAAGGTGGGTGGGGGTTGAGGGTGCACCGTGGGTAGATGAGTTATATATTGGACTTTGCCTATCTAGCTGGCCTGGCGGCCGTTTGGCTCACTATAGGAACGGCAAGAAGTTTACCCCCCC